CTGGCCCGGGATAGGTGCAGACCACTTGCCTTATCCTGTTTGCTTACTTTGCTGTCTCTTATACTACATTCTAAGTTCACGATCGATCATAAGAGGTTTTTGCTTATTTTATTCACTGCTCTGTTGCCTGCGCCAAGGACAGCCTTGGGCACTTATTAGCCCTTAATCTACACTTGTTGAATTGAATGAATGCCCACATAAGCTATCACAGACCTTAAGGTAGTCCTAGATATCATAGGGGCCTTATCTGTCTGTGATATTATTTTTAGATAAAGGCTTCCAAGTAAAATTGTTATAAAATATAATATATAAAAATTCCCTTTAACCTCACATATTCTCCTTTTAAGTGCTGCAGTTAAAATCATAGCCTTTTGATCTATGACATCTCTAGGCCTGGTGGGGTGTCAGTTTTAGTTAACATTATGATAAAAACATAGTTTAAGTGCTACAGAGCAGAGACAATTTCTAAAGTGGTGGCACTTTCTTTCAGTATCATTTTTCTACTTTACAAAGCCACACAAACAGGAAAGGAAGACATCTCAGGATGGGAAAAGTTGAGCAGAAAAGAGATAACAGTAAGCCAGAGGCTGCTGTTTTTATTAGGGCCTGTGTATAAGGTCGGTCCTTGGCTGGGGTCTGAGAACTTGGCACTTGACCAGCTCCTTAACTTATAAAAATGGCAAACACTGTGGATCATGCCAAGAACCTGCTTTTGAGTTGAGTCTGGAATTAGGACTGTTGCTGGGTGGAGGGTGCCAGCCACTAATAAAACCTTGGGTGCTAAGTCTCTTCCCAAGGCAGAGACATTATGTATACTTTACTGAATTTTTCACTGCTGGAGAAAGGAGCAGTCATGTGTCTCCTCACTGGAAGGAGAGGGCATCGAAAGCCTATGCATGGATTTCTTCACAAACTGCTGTGTCTTTTTCTCTCATTGATCCTGTCATGTATACTTTAACTACAATAAACCTTAGCCATGAATACCTGAAAGTGTGCGTGGTCTTGGGGATCCCCAAAGTATATATAGTAGCCAGCTCTAGGGCTGGCAAGGTGTGTCTGGTGACTGAGTAAGTTAACTCAGGGCCCAGAATGTGTGCTGAGGATGCAGAAACACAGAGGGGGAGCCAGAACAAACCTCCCTCTGAGCTAGAGGCTTCGTTCCAGTCTCACGGTGGGGTCTTTCTCCTGGTGGTCTGGCCAAGTCCATGCGGAGGACTTATTTGCCTACGCATAGGGCCTACAGCACTAAGAGCAGGCTGAGTAGCATACTTTGTTGCTCCTCCTAGGGAATGAAAGGTAAGAGCAAGCACTTGCCTCAGTGTCTGGACATCAGATCAGAGCTGTGGAAGCCCCTGTCTCAGGCTTTCTCAGGGCCAGGTAGCTCACAAGCAGTTCTTATCCTTCAGGCTCTTGGAAGGAAGAGGCAATGGGCTCAGCCTTAACTCTCCCATTCCACCAAAAGGTCTCTGCTAGCACTGTGGCTTAAAAACACCCTAGCTTTTGACCCTCATGAAAGGGAACCATCTAGAAAGGAATGTGGGGAGACAATCTCTCTCTCTCTCTCCTCCCTCTTTTTCTCCTCTGTTTTTTGTATGTGGTGCTGTAGGGGCGGATAGTGTGCAGGATAGCGAGGAGGACGCGGACTCTCTCTCTACAGACCCACATTCCCTCATTTTCTCCTGCCTTCAGTTAACTCAGTGGGCACAAACCAGTATCAAGGTCACCTTGAGTGTGATTGTCTCCTCGACACTGCTGTTAGTTTGACACATCCATCAGGGCCGTTAAAAGGTAAACTGAGGCATGTTAAATATTTTAAGAGTTTGAGCAAAAATCAATCTGAATTGGGCAGCATCCAATCTAGCAGATAGAAAGGAACGCTAAAGAGCTGTACAGAAAAAGACTTTTACAGGAAGAAGGGAGCAGGGACAAAAGTGATACTAGGCAAAAAAGCGGATTGGTTATTGCAAAGTTACTTTCCTTTAGGGGATGACAGGTGCCTCTCAGGCAGATGACCCAACTAGTGCTGATCGTAAGATTCCTGATTAGCTTAAGGTTCCATTTCTGGGAGAGATGAAACTGTAATGAAGTCTTGGTTTGGTGCTATGGGCCTTAGCATAACTGACTCCATTTGGGGCCTGTTGTCTTGTTTTTAACAAGGGTTATCTGAGGATATTAATGACCCTCAGATCTTGCCAGCTATGTTCAAATTCATCAGTTAACATGAGGCATCCTATGGAATAGCATAATCCGAGTAATATGGAGCCAGCAACAGAAAATTCTACACATTTCTAAGTACTGCTTTTGCTACATTCTACATATTTTGATATGTGGTATTTTTATTGGTTAGTTCTAAATGTCTTATAATTTACATTATAATTTCTTTTGTGACCTAAGAGTTATTTAGAGGAATGTTTATTTTCAAACACTTCAAGCTTTTCTAATTACCTTTTTCATATTGAGTTAACTTAATTACATCGTGATTAGAGAAAATAATCTGTATGATCCAGTCCTTTGAAAAGTTGCTGGGACTTGCTTTATGGCTCAATATACAGTTCATCTTTTTAAAAGTTCTGTGAGATTTTTAAAAGATTGTGAATTCTCTAGTTGTTGGGTGCAGAATTCTCTATATGTCCACTAGCTAAAACATGTTAATTATGTTTAAATCTCATATTGTCTATTTTTGGTTTCCTTGAAATATCAGTTACTAAGAGAAAAATGTTAAAATTTTCTCAGTATGGTGTTAGATTTATCGATTTCTCCTTGCTGTCTAATATTATTTAGATGCATGTAAATTAAGAATAATTTTAGTTACCTAGTTATTTGAACTTTTTATCAGTATTATTTTTATTTCTAGTAATGCTTTTTGCTTGAATTTTTTGTCTAATGTTAACATTTATTTATTCCAGCTTTCTTTTGTTAATAGTCCACACACATTTTCTCCCATCTTGTTACTTTCAACTTTTCTGCATCCTATGCGTCCTGAATAACGTATTTGATAATGGAGAAAATAAAGTAGATTAAATATTGATAAGAGAGTCAGGAGGCTATTAAGGAAGTGGGGCCTCTGCAGCCTATGGGTCTTGTGCCTCAGGTCTTAGAGCTATTAAGTTGTTAAACCTGTTGCTAAACTCACCTTAAAAATATCCTGGAGCCATAAACATCCTAGAATAACTGCTATGTGGACACATATGAACTTTACTTCCTTCCTCCTAGTTTTCGCCTGTCTCATTTTCATATTGGAACTAACTAATCACTGTTAACCTAGCCAGCGATCCTTCATTTGCATGAAAGAATTACATTCTGTGATTTTTAAAAAATCTTTATAAACCCTGCCTTCTTTGTTCTTCTCAGAGCACAGTGTGGTTGCTACCTGAATCTGTGTCTTTCAGATTGCAATCCTTTTGCTCATATAAATGCTTCTTGTTCTTTATTATAGCCTGAACCTCTCCATTGTTTAACAAGTATATAACTGGATTGTTTTTTAAATGCCTTCTGATGATACCAAAAACAGGAACAATAATTCTTATTCGAATGGTAAAATGGACTTGATCAAAATTTTAAAACATCTCTCTTCAAAAGAGACCATTAGAAACAAAGAAAAACATGTCACAGACTGGGAAAAAATTTTTCAAAAACATTTATCTTATAAAGAACTTATACCTAGACTATATAAAGAACTTTTATAACTCAACAGTAAATAACCTAATTAAAATAATTGGCAAAAATGCGCCAGAATTAGTCATTAGGGAAAAGCCAATGAAAACCACAATGAGATATCATTACATCCTCACTAAACTGGCTAAAATCAAAAAGAATGACAATTCAAAGGGTTGGTGAGGATAAGGAGAAACTGGAACCCTCAGGCATTGCTGGTGGAAATGTGACATGATAAACTTACTTTGGAAAACAGTTTTTTATAAACCTAAACTTGTACTTTCCAAATGACCCAGCATTCCTACTCCTAAGTATCTACCCAAGAGAAATGGAAAGATATGCCCGTAGAAATATATGTATGTGAATGTTCATATAAGCATTATTCATAATAACCTTAAACTGGAAACAATCTAACTATTCATTAACTAATGAATAGGTAAGCAAATGTGGTACATCCATCTAAGGGAATGCTACTCAGCAATTAAAAGAAAGAAAGTACTGCTATGTTTGTGGAAAATTTTTATAATGCTAAGTGAAAGAGCCAGACACATAAGACTATGCATTGTGTGATTCCATTTACTATACCAAATGTCTGGAAAAGATAAAACTATAGAGATAGAAAGCAAATCATTGGTTGCTGCAGGCTGGAGGTGGGAGTGGAGATTGATGGCAAGCAGTCATAAAGAAATTTTTGGAGTGACAGAAGTATTACGAAACTGGACTGTGGTGATGTTTGCACAACAATAAATTTACTGAAATTCATTGAAATCTACACTTAAAATGGATGAATTAATGGTATGTAAAGTAGATGTGAAGAAAGCTATGAAACATTTAAAAAAACAAGTTCATAGTTTTGTCTTTTTAACTGGAGCATTAAGTCCATTTACTCTTTTTGTAATTATAAATATATTTAAACTTTTTTCTATCATTTACGTCCTGCCTTTTCTATGTATCTTTCCCCCTTCCTTTCTTGCCTTTCTACAGATTATTTTTTTCTTAATTTTATATTTCTGCCTCTGTTAACCTGGAAGTGATAATGCTACTGCTTTTTTGTAATGATTAATCTAGGAATGTCAACATGCATACTTACAAATCAAAGTCTAGAGTTAATAGTTTTGCCCTTTTCTTGAATGACACAAAGAATTTAGAACACATTAATTATAATAATTCTCTGCAATTTTTAACCATTAAGACATTATAATTATTTTTTATAGTCAGTATTTAATTATATATATAATTATAAAAAATTTTTTGTAATGAAAAGTGACATAGTGGTTAAGAACATGGCTTCTAGAGCCAAAATGCTTTATTTTTTAGATTGCTTTATATTTCTGCTTTACAAATAGAGAAACTGAGGCAGAAGGATACCGAGTAACATGTCTGAGGTTACATCTAGTTAATGGCGGAGGCAGGATTTGAACCCATTAAGCTCTTATATTTAAAGCCAATAGCCCTGTGGAGATGGTCTAAGAAGTCTGTTGGTGGTACAACAGATCAGAGCCCTTTTCCACTGTCAGCAAATATATGTGCAGGTTCAAATTTCTCTCATGTCTTGAGGTTCATGAAGTTCATTAGATTTCTCTGTAAAGATTAAGTTTACAGGCAAATCAGCAGGGACTTGAATTTCAGCAATATGGATACTTATACAATCAATTTCTCTGTGTTTCTTGCATGTATATTATCTTGCTATAGGAAATTGGAAAAGTCTTGCAAAGTTACAGGACAAGACTTCTTCCATGTACATCCAGTTCTATGTCTAGATTTTTTGCACCATGCTGCATTTATTCCTGGGCAGACCAAGTACAGACTTTTGCTCTATAAAGCAAAACACTAAATTTCCCCCAATATAGTCATTTATATGTCAGAGAACCTCAGGAGAGATTGTATGCTGGCACTGTTAAATGCTGGATCGATTTTGAAACCATCTCCAGTGGAGAGGGTCCTTTCAGAAGTGTGGCTAACAAAGAACAGTCCTCTAGGTCTTCCAGGTTTTCTACCGTCTCGATGATTCTTTCTACTGTGTCACAGGACAGCGTTTTAGAGGCATTGGCTCTGAACTTCTCTTGTAGGTCCTTCTGGCTCAGTGGCTTCCTCCAGTGACCATAGAAGGTATCGGAGCGCTCAGTGAAGGTGATATTGTCCTTGAGGGTGACACTTATCTCACAGTATAGTGTGTTGAAGTTTGGGAGGTTGTCTTGAGGATGCTCAGTCTCCACCTTACCAAGCAACTCTCTCACCTGTGGCCTGCTGATCTGGCATTTGTGAAATGATGGGACAGTGATGTTACCATCGAGTAGCATGGCACAGGCCACATACTGAAAGGAGTGACGGGCTTCATGCTCTGAGTCTGGGAAGGGCCTGTTTACATACTGGACATCTGGAATTCTGAGCACAATTCTTTCAATGTGGTCAATGGGAAGCAGGACTCCGTCTGTTACAAGGTGCTTTCTCACAGATGCAGCTGCATCTGCCACCCAGTGGGTAGCCAAATGTGCAGGGAAACGCTTGAAGGCCACATCCTGCTGGTCCAGCAGCCAAGTGTAGGAATTTAGGTTTGGAAGTACTTTGGGGGAGTAGTTGGCATAGAAGGCCCCAAACCCTGCCTGCATGTCCAGGACCTGCTTATTTCCTTGGAGACCCAGCATTGCCAGAAAAGCAGCTTCTATTCCATGCCTGGCAGCATTGCCGATATGAAGAGGCTTAGTCTGAGTGGCAGCATTTGCCATGGGTGCTCCCGCATGAGAAACAGCAATAGCCAGAGCCTCTTGGCACTTTGTCATGCTGAGCCCTAAAATCTTGGATGCAGCAGCAGCACTACCCAAAGTTCCGACCACTGAGGGGGGATGGAATCTGAAAAGCAGAAAAAGCAAAGAGTTGAAGATTTACAAACCTTAACCATCAGGAGACAATGTAGTATAGTGATCAGGAGTTTAGAGAATGGAGTCATACTACCTAAGTTCAAATCTCAGCCCTTCTACCTATTAGCTGAGTGATCTGGGGAAAGTTATTCAACTTCTCTGTACGTGTTTTTTCTTACAGAAAATGGAGATAATAATAGTATCTACCTCATAGTTTTGTAAGTTTTGAATGAATTCACATGCTTACAACAGTGCCTGAAATGTAGTAAGTTCCTTATAAATGAAATTGTTACAATATTGGAGAAAGGTAAAAGTTGTTGATTGCTGAAAGTCCATTTAAATAACTATAAAAATTGAGGGCCTTGTAGAAACTGTGAAAATCACTCAATATTCCAATTTACTCCTTTCCTAATAGGCTGGATCAAGTAGCAAAATAAATATTAGATTGAACCATGTAATAAAGCCAACATTTCACCATTTTTGAACAGTCAGGTTTAGGATATTCTGAATGTTATTAGTCTGAAGAATCCTAACAAAAACAAAGTAGATTCTGCTTTGATGGGATCAGGATGACCTGAGTCACCTGGGATGAGGAGCCCCAATTTATTTCACAGTCTTGTTTGCTTGATTCTCTAAACCCAAAAAAGATTTTTCATGGGGACTTCTGAAGTCACACCTCTGTATATGGGTGTACAGTTTAATATATGACTGGTGAATTGACTTATCTGCTGGCACGAATATTAACATCTTCAACTGAGCCAACCTTTACATCCAAAAGCTCTACAGAGATAACGATTGACAGATGAAGGAGAATATGGCTGTCTCTCCATGGGGGCAAATATTTCCCATACCTTTTTGGTATGTTATTGGCTTCCTTGGAGAAATTCATTAATCGGCCTTGCACTTCAATCCCAACATTGAAAGCCAGCAGCAGGTCCAGGCCAGAAAACTTTGGACTTGGGGGCAGAGCTTCTGATAAAGCCATGAGGACAGGAAGGACAGCGCCAGAAGGGTGGGTGGCAGGGTGCCATGTGTCATCAAAATCCATTGAGTGAATCTACATAACCAGACACAAACAACAACCAAAACCTAAAATATGTTTCCCTGAATGAAATGGCTTTTGGACCAAACAACCTTGTTTGATATGGGATTTTTAGATTTGATTCTCTGAAAATAAAACCTATGAAATGGCTGTGATTCTTAATCACATGGCTAGGCACTGGACACACTGTTCACCATCCAGATCAGGCAGGACCTTGCGGAGCAGCTGTGAGCCCTAAGGACTTTGGGTCTTACCCAGGTGGCCAGAGCTCTCTGCCACAGCCCCTGAAAAGATCTATGTTCCGTTTATAAACAAAGCTGTGGAATTAGGTGGCTGCTCTTCCCTCCCTCCTTCTTCCCCCACCTTTCAAACAAGTTGCACTAAAACTTTAGTATCATTTATTCCACATAAGACCATTTATTTTTGTATCTTTTTATTATGAAATAATTTTAAATGTATGAAGTTGCAAGAACTTTTGAACCTAGATTATATACTAAGCTATATTTTAAAATCATTATTTTCTGCTATAAGATTTTCTTCCTCTTTATTCCAGCCATTTGCTTTTTTATATGAAATAGTAATAACCAGAAGTTCATTTAAAAATAGATTTTTATGTCTATTGGATGTGGCTTGTGTGTTTCTCACTGCTTACTGGACATTTACTCCTGGATACATCATTGGGTTTGACTTTCAATATTCTGAGCTACTGTCCCCCCAAACCATAAAAATATCTCAGAAAACCCAACACGTTCATGTTCAAATTATATCTTGTAGACTGCCTTTGAAACACACAAAAAAGCATAAAGCATAAAAATTGTCTGTCAGACAAGAAATGCTATTTGGTTCAAAAAATATAATCATCATGTATAGCCATTGTTTCTTTCTCAATAAATAGTCATCGAATGAATGGATGGATGGATGGTTGATTACTGGATAGAAAGTGGTACTGATCACAACAAAAAACTGAGTCTGGAAATTGGGTTTTATATTTTTTGCTATATATATTCAGAGCTTAGAGTTGAGATACCTTGGGGGCGTTTTTATCTAAATCCTTCTGTCTTATTTCCTCTACTTCACAATTTGTTTGGAAAGTACCAATTTACTATTAAAACATGAAAACCGAAATTACTACATAGGAGAGAGAGCAGGCCTCTCTAAATTTCAGTGATATTATCAGTAAAATATGGAAAATGGGCAATTTCTGAGATATGTCCTGGTTCTGAAAATTATTGTGATCATCTATCAGTTGAAAAGACATGGAAACATCCTTACAGCCACACCGTTAACAAAGGCAGCATATGTTGACGGCAGCCTGAGCTCTGGTCGGCCCCAAACAGTGCTGCATGTATTGGAATTGTAGATCTGGAACAGAAGAATATCAATCAGTGATACAAAGTGTGAGCGCAGCATGACATTTCAAGAGTCATTCTTCATCTTTGGAGGCATTACATGAATAGTCCTTATCTGAAACTTTGGTCCTACATCGAAGGCCTAATCATTGGATTCTTCTCTTCCTTGTAGAAGAATGTGCAACTTTCTCCGTGGATGTGAGAAGAGATGCTGTCAATCGATCCCAGACCACAATCCAGGGGCTGAACTTATTCTTATTTACTCCTTTTGTGTAAGTACTGGGGATGGTGGACTAATCATTTACGCCAAACACATTTTTTGGCAAGTGGATGCTACATCTCCCACATACACACCCACTATCTGCTCAGAGTGCCTGCCCAGCCTTTTCTCTAGAGACTCTCAAAGTCTTTGCATGAACGAATTGTCTGGAGTAGGTGCTATTGCTTCTAAAACTCTCAGGTAAAAAGTGCTTTCAGTCATAATAGTAATAAACCATGAGATATTACTAGTGTTAAGACTAGATTTAAGATCAGTCTTAAGACAGTGACTTAGTAAAGGATGTGAATGAATACTAAAACTCAGACAGCAAAGCATAGAAGAGCGTAAAACTATATACAACAATGCTATGTGCACCAAGTAGTATTCCTAAAACAAAGAGCAAGGTCGTAGAACACACACAGAGCTCTGGGTACGCTCACGGGTACACTCATGAGCAGGTATTGCACACTTGGTTTTATCTCTAAAGGAGACATTGAGCTTCTTACTTTACTATATTCAGTGGCTTTGTGAAACACTTCTGTACTGGTTCCCAGGAACCCAACGCCCAGAGTATCCAGAATCATCCTCTTGCTCCTCTGAATGACACGATCCGTCAGGTGTCCCACTTTCAAGCC